TAAAAATATAATCCGTGACCAACCATTTTTTTATCTGTGACCTAAAAATTATACGATATGTGACCAATTAATTTGAAAATCTGTGACTGTTTGACCTATAAATTTTGATGTGTGACAAACTAATTTTGAAATCTCTAACCAACGAATTAATTATGACCTATAAAATTTTTGAACTGTGACCGTAAATGTAAATCTGTGACCAAAATGGTCACCTGAATATTTGTCGAAAAAATTGCCAGAATCGGAGGTCTTCGAAACGGTGGCCGAAGAAGATTGGTGGTCGAAATAGTCCCCGGAGAGATATGGATGGTGTATGCGGGATGAGTTAATTATATTATATTAGAATTAAATATTTAATAATAAATTGATTTAATAATTTATTATTTCATAAGTAAAAAAAAAACCTGATTTTTGAATTTTGAAACTATAAATCTGATTTTTGAATTGTTGTAAAATATACACCTTATTTATGAATTTTTCCCTTTGAACAAGTAGTAGGTGTAGATTATTGTCATGATTTATGGATTGATGTACATAATTATAACATGAAAGAGAGAGAGGAAACAAAGAGAGAAAAGATGTCAATTAATATAATTCACGTCATCATTATATAAATCAATCTATAAACCATACAATACAAATAACATTATTCTTGTATCCCACACTAAGAACATGTGGCCAATAACCATGCTTCCTTTTTCTTTTTCTTTTTCTTTTTTTATCAAGTAAATAAATTGTATAGATTAAAATTGTGGATACAACTACTCTAAACATTCTCGAGCTTACAGAATTAGCCCTTGTTTGACACCCATTTTTGACAAAAATTAAATTCTGAAATAGTGATTGATGGAAGAATGTGTGGTTAAAAAGTAATAAGAATTTTTGAGTTTATGTGTAGTATTATTTTATTGATAGAATGTGTGGTTGAAATGAAGAAAGATGAAAAAAATGAGAATGAGAATGAGAAAAAATGAGTGTCAAACAGGGGCTTAATGTTACATTCGGTCTAATGACCTAAACAAGGATTGAAAATCAATCGATCAAAACTTCTTCCTTTTTTACTTGTATCTTGATTGTATATCTTTATTTATTTCATCTGCAATTATGGTGATATATTTTAATGAAGTTTACTTTTTTGGCCTTCCAAAAAAAAGATTGTTGTCAGTGGTTGGAGGGCTTTTTTGTTTTTTGTCGTTCATGGTCTGTACGTTGAGTAGCTCGTGCCTCTAGCATGATAGCACTTAATCCCTCTGTGTTGTGTTGGAGGTTTTTCCTCCTTGTAACTGTTTGCTATTTCAATGTTTATTGGAATTTCAAAAAAAAAAAAAAAGATTCAATGTTCAATTGTAATCGCGCTGATATGTTTTCAAGTACGAGTCCTAAGTTATTTATATTTTATAATTGGATTTTTTAAGACATATATTATTATAATTTATTAATTTTTGGATATTGAAATGCATTAAAATTTAAACAAGGTCTTAAAATAGATTTTTCGAGTATATTAAAAAAAATTAAAGCTACTCTAAATTTTTGAGAACCTGAAAATTTGTATCGACCAATTTAGTCTCTGATTGTCTCGCTTAAAAATAAAATTCTTGAATTTTCATACTTATTTTCAATCAAACATTTACAAATATTTTGCACGTAAATTAAAAAAATCATACTTTTAAATTGCACATTCTCCAAAATATCACCATTCAAAATATTTTCTTTTCTCATTGGTGACCATCAAATAGGAGCCAAAGTTAGAATGTATTAAAAATATTTGACATTAGAGTCGAGAATTCATTATAGATGGTTTAACTTATCGAAAAAATTGTATTTATCGTTCTTAATAAATTTTTTCTCCATTTCAAACAATTGACTTTTGAACTTTTTCGAATAGTTATGGTAGTCTTTCTATAATTATTTTAATGTGATGTAAAAAAAAAAAAGGACAATTATGCTATCTAACATAAATAAATAAAAAAGAATACCGAAAAAGGCTGAGGAAAAAAGAATCCTTCACCTTTCTTCTATACCCAAATAACTGACAGAGAGATTCTTAAATAAAGAAATCGAATATTTAAGAAAGGTAGAAAAAGAAATCGAATGTTTTTAAGAAAGGTCGAAGAGAAGATTACAACAACCCTAACAAATCAGATTCTCTGTCTGGGCTGTTCGATTTCCTCAATAATCTCTGTCTTTACTTAGCTCACTGAAATTTATAAATCTTCTCTCGATAGCGAATTGTGATATTCGCCTGTCAATCAGTGCGTAGGGTTTTTATACTAATTTAACAGGTGCGACTCCATTTCTTTAATAATTTGAATTGCAATACGGATACATGCGTTCTTATTGACTGAACTCATAATCTTGGTTATTCTTTTTATTTTTATTTTTTGGTATTGTTTAGTTATCTCTTTTTATGATAATAGTATATAATTTTTTGAATCTCTCTCTCAATTTGCAGATTTAATTTGTTTTGTATTTTATTGTGCATTCTACGGCATAAATTTATTTGAATTCATGCAGTTATCTGAATTTTGAAGTCTTTCAGTAAGCAAAAGCTGATGGAGGATTGGGGTAATGTTTCATTTTCTATCTCTTTCTTCCTCGTCTTGGGGACCTTGCTTGATTAGTTTTTTTCCCTCACCCTCATGACTTTATATTGTTAGAAACATACATCAATAAATTAGGTCTCGTGAATTTTCATAAACTTGTATTTTGTTGCTTAACCAGTATGGGTGCAATGGTCACAGTTTTGTGACTTTTGGTTGGCAATTAATACAAGTCCTTCAGAAGCTTTTTTTTTTGGTGTAATCAACACATTGCTGAACTTTCACGACTTCTGATTTGGAAAATGATTGAAGTCCCTTCTACCAAACTTTCATGGGTTTTGATTAGGAAAACAAGATAAATCCCTTCTACGCAGTCTGATCTATTTGGCATCACATTGTATGAACATATATTAAGATGTTGGGTATGACAATGAAGCATGCTTTCAAATTTGTGTAATCTACATTATTCATTTTTTTGGCTTATTAAGGGTCATTAAGGATATTCATTCTCCTCTTCAAATTTATCCAAAGGTCTTTAGGTAGACAAGTTTTTTGACTGCCAACATATTTGATAATTCAGAGGACGAGTCAATTCCAGATCTTCTCAAAAAGGAGCAGCCAAAGAGTAATTGGGATGATGAAGATGTGGATGATAATGATGTGAAAGAATCTTGGGAAGATGAAGATGAGCCTGCACCGGTATATTTGTTGATAGTTTCTCTGTTTCACTAAGCTGATTTACATTAAAAATTTACTTAGAGAAAAATATGCAACTTTGCTCTAGATTATGAATGCTACCTATTTCTTAACTCATCCTTGAATGCTATATATGTTGCGTCTTTAAACTTTCATTAAATAAAATTGATTTCAGCATTGACCATTGTGCTGCCAACATTTTGAATAATACTCCTGACAGTGTTTTACATTTTTTTAATGGAAGTTTAAAGACATGTCATTTATTGACTGTACACGTGTGATCTGATCCCTGTGGAACAATACATGAGAGTTCCTGAAGAATGTATAGTCTTACTAATAACATTTTTGCAGCTGATGATCTTTTAAACTATTATGCTAAAAATTTAACTAATGCCCAGGCAGCTTGAAGGCATATATATATATACTCATCTTATTTCAATGTTACATTTCATTTTTAGTTGCCATTTTTTTTGTTATATTGCTTGATAATATATTACCAACTGCTGACGCGTGATAGCCAATGACACATGGTGGGATGAGCATAGAGATCCTCCTTATTTTAATTATTATATGAAAAATGTTTTCCAATGTTCAAGAGTGTAAAACAGCTGAATCTGGATTGTGGTGTTTTTCCTCCCCCGGGCGTGGCTAGGCATAAGCCTCGAGGCTCTTTGCAACTAGAAAAATCCATATTTGAACATTTTAATTAAATTAAAAGTCTAATATGCAACAAGAAACATAAAATGGATCACCAAAGTTGTATATTAATTGAGTAGGATTCAAATAACAAGACCACTAATATCTAGAACTAAAAGTCTAAGACATGATGGAACTGGCCATTTAGTTGAAGAAAAAGAAACAGAAAAAATTAAAATGCTGAGGTACAGGCAAGAAATATCTAAAAGAAGGAGAAGGAAGTTACTTGTAGCAGTCTCTCCACTGGCCGTTTGTCTCTGCTAAAACGTTGTAACTTTACTAGGGAGGGGGTAATTTCCCTTCAGTTGTCAGACTAGGGGGCTACAGCATACTTGTCTCTTCACTTGTTTGCTTCCTTAATTTTCAGAACTTTTTCTTCTAGTTTTTATGGTGCCTTTTTTAAGCAACTCTAGAACCTCTCAAAATGTTATCAAGTATGAAAAAACCAGCTTCATCCAACACAAAATGCTAATGCAATAGGAAAAGCTAAGAAAGGAAATAGTACGTGCCTCAGTTGCTTGAAGACATTAATTTTCAACAACAATTGGTATCTTTGATGATAGTTATTCAATATTATCTCTAGTTCTTTCATATTTATAAATAAACTTCTTGGTTAGCTGGTTTCTTTTTCCTTTTGAAGTTGAAATTTTGACAATTGAAGACGAATAGCTTGTGTACTTCAGAAAATGGCAAGTTATTCAGACTTTTTCTCTTGCTTGATCAGAACCCTGAATGTTAACGAGCAACAACTTTTGGCTAGAATCTTTCCCCTTGTGTGGATTATATTTAATGGTTGTGCTGTTTCCGTATATACAACTAAATGTTGTACATGGTGTTAAAATTTTTTGGACTACCGTTTCAGGGTATGTATGTGCAGTTGACATTGATGTTGTTGTTTCTAAGCTTTTATTGAATATAATGTTCTTCATTCATATGTTGTGGTCAGGCACCTAAAGCAGAACCTCTTCCTGAAAAGGTCTCAGAAAAGCCTGCAGCAAAATCGGGCGAAAAGAAAGGGAAAGCTATTGAAGCTGCAATGGATGCTCCCTTAGATCCCGTACAAGAAAAACTTCGCCAGCAGAGGTGGGAATTGATTATTTTTATACATGCTAGGATTTCAAATTCTGAAATTTTTTTGTCATATTCTATGAAGTAGTTACTCTTGGTAACCTCGACGCTGACAAAATATTACTTATGAAGATCAGGCAACTCAACTGAAAAATAAGCATCTTCTTATTATAGGCTATTATTTCTTACTCTGTTATGTTTTCTTCCAGTCCAAGTCTTCCTGCTTCCGCTTGATGTGGTTTGTTGTGTGATCGAATTGTTTGCATTCCTAAACATATATATGGGTGTATTCACCCAGATGTTATCATTGCAATAACCATAATTTTCTGCTACATCTGCTTTCTTCATGGTGTCAAACTTTCCATTCACCCTTTCTTATTGTTTCTCCTCATTTTATTGTTTTCCACCTGAAGAATAGGGAGGAAAGGCTTAAATTAATGTTGGGACATAGTCTGCATTGACTATTGGACCAGATGGAAGTTCACGAAAGCAATAAACAATGTTGGTCGAATTTGGACTGTAAGACAGCAAAGACTGGGACCATTTTTCTTTGTACTGCTGTCTCTTTAATACTACTATTTTTTGTCCTGACACGTTACTGACTGTCCATTGTTGAATAAAATAGGTTAGTGTTAGAACCATGAATGGGCTGTGTAATCTCATTGGAAAAGCTGCTTAAACCGTAGCTATCCAAGTACAAATAAATATCACTCAAAATCCTCAATGGGTGATAAATTATGTCATTTCTTCTGATCATGTAGTGCATGGCTACTTGATAATTTTATTTGTCGTTACTTCATTGAAGATGGGTATTTCTCCTTCCTTTTTGTTTCATAGGCTTGTCGAAGAAGCTGATTACAAGTTCACTACAGAGTTGTTTGCTAAGAGTGATGAAGAGAAGACTCTTGATAATTTTATTCCCAAAACCGAAAGTGACTTTTTAGAATATGCTGAACTTGTTGCCCATAAGCTCTGTCCATATGAGGTTTATCAGATTTGCTTTGCCTGTATTTATATTTTTATTTGGTGATTTGTTGTCTGACTATAATGATTTGGCTATTGCTTTTATTGCAGAAAAGCTATCACTACATTGGATTGCTCAAGGATGTGATGAGATTGTCAATGTCGTCTTTGAAAGGAGCAGATGCTAAAGAAATCGCCTCTTCTGTCACTGCGATTGCAAATGAAAAGATTAAAGCAGAAAAAGAAGCCAATGCTGGCAAGAAGAAAGGTGAATTTGAGCGTGAATATATTATTTCCATTGCACCAAGTTATGATTAATCAAGTGGACATATTATAACCGAGCGTTATCTGCCCTACAGGTTCAAAGAAGAAAAATCTGCATGTTGGCAAGCCCGACGATGATGTTGTTGCTGATACATATGATGATTTCGACGATTATGATTTTATGTGATATCACGTTTTCGTCTCCATACAACACACAGAAGTTTGAATCTTGCATTATATAATCGATAGTTGATGAAGATGACTAGATGAGGAGCGTGCGCTCTTGTTTTCTTTATATATTTTTTATACGAATTGAATGTCACATCATTTTTAGTTCTTGAGAAGATTATTATATTTTTCATTTCATTTTGTGGTTGGAGATCTGTCATTATTTCTGGCCCTATTTGTAGTCACATTTTTGTGAAACTGAGAATTTTATTATTGAGCATTTGGTAACGTGAAAATAAGAACCAAAATACATTATAAGCAAATAATTAGACCAATTGTATGATATGTTAAATGGAATTGAAAGTTTGAAATCAGAACTTACCAAATAAATTTAAATTTGAAAGCACTGAAAATTCCTACTTTATACAGACAACTGCAAGTTCTGGAACTGTAAAACATGTTGAACAAGCTCAAAGCCACAAACCCGAGATCTAACCTCTCTGTGAAAATATGATTAACCCATCTCTTCCACCGGTCCTAATTACAATGACTTGTTAGAGAACGAGACTCAAACCGGTGGGAGACATTCCAGCCACCTGATTATTTAGGCTCTTCCGCAGGTTTATGTGCTGGTTCAAACAAGGACAACAACAATTTCACAGTTAGCTGTTCCTTCTGTCGACTGAGATTTTCACAGGATGCCGTTAAAACAATAATTCTTAACCGAACATGCTCTAAGTTCATCTCCTTCAGTTAGGATACTGTGCCTTCCATCCTCGCAGGCTACTATGTGAATAGCTTGTCATAAAATTAGCAGGCGCTGAAAATTTATTGTCAAAATGGCAAAAATAAAAATCTCACTTTACAGCCAGTAAGTGTTGCATTCAAATTCCACAAACATCTTTGCCGATGCTCAGTCTTCAGCAGACTACGGGTACTCCAGCACTAGGGAGGCCTGGCAGTGCCACAATATTGCCATATCTATCAATCATCCAATTCAGTAATCTGCGCTCTTCTCTCAGCAGCTTTCTTCCTGACGAAGATGCACCATCTCAGAGCTGCTTTGAGTTTGAGCCACCCAATAACAGCTTTGCCAGACGAACGTGTGCTATCCTCCCTAATACGACAGTTAGAGGGCACGTCAGCATTGTACTTGTATGCATAATTAAACTCGTTGCCATCAAAGGGAGCATGACCATGGCCACCCATACTAAATACACGAAGCATATGCTGCATATCTTCGTTTTCAAGTATCTCGTGACTTCTTTTGCGAATCTCGTCCTCGGGGCAAAAATCCTCAAATCCTCTATAAGAATTAAGATTTGATGTGTTACCAACGTGGAAGTTTTGCACAGTTGACTTTGACGGACTAAGTGCCAGCACATTCTCACTTCCAGATGGATGAGCTGCTAGTGCTGTGTTGATCGGCTGGTCATGTGGATGGAACGAAGTATTGTCTAACTGAATAGCAGCATTAAAGTTCATGTTTTGTGATTGCATCTGATATCTGCTGCCGGTATTGTCATCATACCCTTGTGAAAGGTAGACCATTCTTAAAGTAAGCAAAGTGCACATGAAATGTACTTAAAGGCAGATAGGAAAGCATTTTGAGAGAAGCATATGATTATAGCCTAATCAGATTGAACCCTTTCAAAAGTTTAGTTTGCATATGAGAATTCCAAAACTCGTGCGATAATTTGGCATGTATATAGTTATTAGTCATATGAAGCTTTTAAGCTTTTCGCTATAACTTTTCTTTTAATCAACTTTTTATATTTATTTTCCTGAACCACATTTGATATCTCTGCAACTCATGATCTCCAAACTAATACAGACAGAACCTCCCAAATGTCATGCGGGTATCAGATTAGTCATGCATACACCTTCCTGCCCAGTTTGAAACAGAATCAAAAGCGGAAGGCCTAAAAAAAAAGGGTGATGTTACCGGTACATCACGGTATACATCAAAGGCTACACCCCCCTCACATGGAGGGTGGGGTCCACTCGAATAAAAAAATATTATTCGAGTGGACCCCACTCCCCATGTGAGGGGGGTGTGGTCCTTGATGTACAAGTGGAATTACCCCAAAAGAATTTCTATCCTCCAACTAATGAGTAATGTATACACCTTGTAGATATAAAATTATGTGGCTATGTGAATTTCACTCCCCATGTGAGGGGGGTGTAGTCTTTGATGTACACCACTTGATGTACAAGTGGAAAAACCCAAAAAAAATAGAGAGAGAGAGGAAGAGAATGTGAAGGATGAAAAAAGGAAAAACTATGGATTCAAACGTCAGATGCAACCAAATGTCCCTTTCCCCCTCGATTTGTTATATTAGAATAAAAGTAGCCAGGCAGTTAACATATGAAAGTTTTGGGCATAACATAATCAAGCATCCATCTCATCTTCCTTTTTTCTTTTTCTTTTTGCCACAGATCCACATGTTTACCAGCATTTCAAGTGAAAGATAGATACCTCCTATACTCAATCCTGAATTCAGATCCATAGAAGGATGCTCGGCAGGAATACTTTGTCGTCTGAGCTGAGCAAAAGAGCTTGGCTGATCTTTCGGATCAATCTGTGAATCAACTGAACCTTTATTTTGATCAAAGCCCAGGAGAGACTTGCCATCATATTCTATAACATGCATCCAATTGTCATATGCTTTCTTCACCAGAGTATCAACAAACTCCTGCAATATGAAATGGAAAGGTGTCTAGTCAACTCTTTTCAATTTGAGAGAACAACAGATTCCTTTTCCCGAATCCTATGCAGGCTGAAGGACAGAAGGAAGCAAAGTTGAAGCATGATAGTAAAGTGGAAAGAGACTGAGTAAAATCATCTGCATATTCTCAGAATTTTATCTTGGATTGGCTTAAACAGGGTCGAAAGTGTGTAATGGGGAATTTACAGAAGAAATCAATATTGAGGAATTTGTACTGCTTTTTGATGTAAAGAAAGGTAACAGTGAAATTCATAGGAATAAGACGAAATATAAATAATGATTATTCGATCATTAAGGACAACCAACCTTCTGACTGTCAGAAAGAGAATCAACTGAATGATATTGTCCGCCAGCGATTAGACCACTAAATTCATAGATATTGTTAAACACTATACTAATATTCTTCAGCTCATCAGGATAGTAGACGTAGAGTTTTCCACTTAGGATACAGGTCTTTGCATGCTCTAGAAGATCATCCCACATCTTATTCGACATTCCACTTCCCAGTATCTAAGAAGAAAATCCATAATCAGACGCACAGAAATAAACAGATAATGAACCAAATTTTGAACAGGACCACTAATTAGACTTCTTACACTCCGAAGCCTTTGAGGGTCTCTCACTACAAGAAACAGAAAATCTTCTACTATGAATATTCCAGCTTTATTAAGCCTCTTGTGGAATGATCCATCTTTCCCAATCTTTTCCAATCTCCAAACTTCATCATTCAGCGCAGGTGGGTAATGTTTCTTGTACACTACAAAACCAGAAATTTAATGATTTATAACCAAACCCACAGACAACAGATATTATTTATGTAAATATTTGACAGGACATGTACTCACATTTTCCTCTGTGATCCTTGACAGTGAAGGAATCTGTCTTTGCTTCACAGATATGGAAGGGCTCACAATAACTAGATGCAACTTTCAAACCTAGCCTAAACTTTCTACTCCTGATCCAACTAGAGTTATCTGTAAATGTCAACTCTCCAAGGGTTCCTACACCTTCCTTCAATGTCACTTGTAAGTCCCCAGTTAGAAGTGGCCTCTTTCCTTCCCGCTCTTTCACTATATGAGACTCAAATTCTTCTGGAGTCCACCCCTCATCGCCCTCATTGTTAAAATCACCTTCAAGCACAACTACATCTAATTTAATTGAGGATTCTGGACCTGATGTTACAACATGGCCTGTGTTTGCATCAAGCAAGACAACAAGTATTGCAGCACCGTGCTCTCCCTCCACTTTTCCTCCTGTAAAGAGAGGTAGTGACAACTTGGACCTGAAGTGCAACTGCAAATTTCTTCCATCATGCCCTTCAATTCTTTTTGGAGAAACCCTGCATGTTGGAGAAATTCAATATAAAGTGGTAAAGATAGCCTAAATGAAGGGAGCTTCAGTATTTAATCCAACAAGTTGTTCATGCAAGTCGCTAGCAGGCACTGTTTAAAATCATCTCATTCTCATCTTTTTCAATATGCTAGACTTGGAAAATCTTAGTTTTCCATCCAATTTCATGGAGAGATCGGGTTACACCACTCCTATTTTAATTTTTGGTTTTCCACCCGTGTAATTGGAGGTAAGGCCTTAGGTCCATTCCCTTTGCCACCTTTGTAATATATTTAGCCCCTATTTGATGGTCATTATAAAGAGACATTGGGGGAAAATGGTGTTTTGAATAGTTATTTTTTAAAGAGTGTGTGGTTAAAATGTAGGGAAATATTTTGAGTTTACATGCAGAATATTTTATTGTGTGAATGTGTGGTTGAAAATGAGTATGAAAAATAAAAAAAATTAATTTAAAGAGAGTCAAACAGGCTTAATAAGAAAGGCATGATCCGTCTTCACCTACAATAAAAAGATGGTTTTTGTGAAAAAGAAAAGACACTTGTACACATAAATATTCTGATGGTACACGGTTGGAATAACGGCCACAAGGTTGTACTTCAAATTTGGTGATAAATGCAACTACTTATATGAGGTGGCAAAAGGACAAGTTAAGAGTGCATTTCGTTTGCTGTTTCAAGTTGTTTACAGTTTTTCAGTTTTGCAAAATACAGAGAACGTGTAAAAACGTGTTTAATCTGATATTTCTGAAAATGCATTTTCAAAATAAGGATAAATTTCTAACGTATAACTCAAAACACATTTTCGATGTTTTCAGTGTTTTCAGTTAAAATTCTGAAAACATTGATAAAATATTTTTTTTTAAATAAAAATATAAAATTCTAACAAATAAAATTTTAAAATAAAAAAAATAAAATTCAAGAAAAACAAATTCAAAAAATAAATTGATAAATTCTAAAAAAATTATAGAAAAATAAAAATAATTCAAGCTCTTAGCCCCTGTTTGGTGCACATTTTGGGAGTAAGAATGCATTTTTATTGTTGATGTGATGGTGAATATGTGGTCGAAAAAGAAGGAAAAGTTATTGATGTGATGAAAAATATTATTTTATTGAAGAATGTGTGATTGAAAATGAGTAGAAGAATGAGAATGAGAATGAGAAAAATAATATGGATCAAACAGGGGCTTAATGATTATTTACATAAAAATTTTAAAAAATATATTTAAATGAACACAGTTAAAAAAAATATTCAATCCACGTCATTAATTTTTATTTTTATTTCTTATATTTTTTAACTCAATTTATTATTTAGGGCTTGTTCGAGCCCTATTTTCTTCAAAAAAAAAAAAAAATGCATCTTGTGATAGTGTTATGATGGAGAATGTATAGTTATAATTATAAAATAGAGAAAATGTTTAGGTTCACGTATAATATTATTTTATTAAAGAATGTGCGCCTAAAATGGTGTTAAATCACTGTTCAAGAATGCATTTTGATGGAAAAAATGGGGTTCAAACAAAGGCTTATTTTTATTTTATTTTGTAGCGAGAAAAAATATTATAAAATGCAAAATGTATATATTACTTGATAACATATAAACTTTTACTGAATAAAAAAATTTCATGAAATAAAATGTTATAAAATAATTTTTCAAAAATTCAAATCAAACAAGTCTTCTAATTTTCTGATAATTTTTAAAGGTGACAAACCAAACGCATTTTAACAATTTTAAAACAAACCCTCAAAACAAAAAATTGAAAATGAACTCGAAACTGAAATACAAATCAAACGGGCCCTTAACGTTTAGCTAACTGAAAATTGATATTGATGCTTCGAAAGAGGAAATAAATGGAATTTAAAAAGTGGCTTGCTACAATAGGTTAAGTCGCACCTTCCATTAAGTTTGGCGGGACCTAACTTTGCTAAAGCAAGCTCAACTTCTTCGCTCACCTGGTCAGCAGAAAGGCACATGTACATAAGTTAGAACCCATTAGAAGTGTTAAAGCATCATAAGCAATGGACCAAGAATCCCAACAAATTTGTGCCGCAAATTGAACTGAGAAATCAAGAACAGGAGGTTCCTCGGTTCACTGAAACCAAATTGTGAGAAATAACAAACACGTCATTGATCAACAGAGGAATAATATTTACCAACCGCAAGAACATTCTAAATGGACTATTCATATTAGTATACAAGAAATCTTCCGAAAACAATCTGACAAGCATGTCCCTATCATCATTGAGTATTATTAAAGCAGAAGGGAAACGAACTCTGATGGAAGATTTATCTTTGCTATCAACTAATTTGACAAAGAGATTTAGAAGAGTAGAAAACAACTTGCTTCAGAACAGGAATATGGGATTTGATGCATATGCATTGAAGTAAATTGGAATAATTTCAAAAGCAAATACAACGATGAGAACAATCTCCCTGCATGCATGATACCTCTGATTTCACTTGTTTCATGGAGTGTTAGCACCATATTCATAATGGACTCTTATACAGGGATATAGGGAATATACGAGGAGAGAATCACAATACAATCTATAGTGAGAAGACACCAGGACAACGTGTATTTCAGATAGCAACAGGTATGGTGCATAATAGAACATCACATACGAGATACGACCGATATTCTTTTTATATGTGATGAAATATTATGCCTATGTTTGGCCCCCAAATTTTCGAGAATTCATTTTTTCAAAACTCATTTTAAACCACACAATTTTCCATAAAATAATTTTACATGTAAATCGAAACATTTTCTTTATTTTTTAACCACACATTTTCTTACAAAAATGGGGCTCAAACAGGGACTATATCATGAGTCAAAACTACTTAAGGAAGCATTAAGGACTAAGGAGTCATCACTTAATTGGTTCTCCTAGAAGTTCAACATAAACATTGATGAGTGAAAGAACTCTTGAAATATTTCCCTTTTTGATAAGTAACTGTATTTGATTTTAGAGTTTAAGATCAACTCTTTCTATGCATTTATCTGCAGAAATAGTTAAAGAACATAGAGCGTTAATCTAACAACCAATGGAAGGTAGGTAAGATCGGACATTTTTTTTGCATATGGAGTGCATCACCGTTGTCTATGTGGTCAGGTGTTCCGTATTTAGAAAGCAAAAATTCAGTAGAAAGACTAATTATCTTACAACTCTCCGAAGAACCGGTTCCAGGGATGAACAAAGTTTCTGTAGACTGTCCACCTTTAGTGCTTCAATAATAACACTGCATCAACCAGTATATTCCTTAAGAAATAGCTCTGTGAGCAACCATAAATAAGAAAGCATGAAGAGAGCTTCAAGAGTGAAAATAATTGACTTCCCAGAATATATTTAACAATAAGAACTATATTCTACAGGATATATTTTTCTCATTTTCAATTTTGCCGAAGGCCTCATATGTGTTGACGAAACGGGCAGATCACAAAAATTCATTAGAGGCTGCAGGAGTGTATTTACCCAGATTGGCTTATTTGCAGCATTGGGTTAATTTAAATATTAATATAAAGAAAAAAACAAACTTAAGAACAAGACAACTTAGTAAACTAAGGATGAATAAAGCATGATATGGTTTAGACTGCACATATAAGATGTCTAAAGTTAATCTCCAAGCACGTAAACCACTTAACCAGCTTTGAGGTACGAAATAAGAAGTCATCGCACCAGCAATGGCAGGGTTCTTTCAAAACAATGTGGAAGACAGCTATAGATAATTACACAGTTCAACCCATACAGAGAGTCTGCAAACAACTTAATGCTCAAAGATATTATTCAATATTTTGGAGTAGAAGCTTGTCAATTAAACAATGTGAAATAAGAAGCGTTGTATCTGGGAAGATAGACGTCCGTTTGATCCTGTTAACACCAGGAGGAGAAATCTATTTTAACGAGATTTGCATTCGCATACCTCCCTTCGTTTCATCTCCTTCTAATTTTTACATTTCCATAAATCCAAATTTGTGCGCTTATCTTGATTTCGAAAAGTCAAAATTCTATCAGATATTTTACAGGTGTAAGTCATGATTTTATCCTCTTTGCATACACGTATTTTTTGTTAACGAAATATAATTCATGCACCATTTGTCCAACAAGCAGCTCTTCTATGATGCTGCCAAGAACTGGTATCAGCCATAACACTTGTAAAGCAAATACCAAATGCATACAGACGCTAACATCAATTTAGCGATCCTCAATGAAATTAATACAAATTCAAATGAGCTAAATACGGTTCCCCAATAATGTACTTGCATATTCAGATAACACAATGCGGATACACATAACTAAATAAAGTAAGAGATTTCCGAAGTCAACACTTAAACGAACTAAATCTAAACTTTTGAATCATTCGCGTGTTTGCGTATGTTATCAATTAAGTAACTAAAATTCCCTAACGAATCACTATCTAAATTCATAAGAACCAAAAATCAAAAACCATTAAAAAATACAAAAATATTCATACAATTTTTGGTGTAAATTACCTGGCAAGAGCAGGACGTTTCCGATCAGGTTGACCTTCCTGGCTACTACTGGGATCCAAACTACGTTTTTCTCTAGCCGCCATACTATTTGATCTTTTCATATACCTCGTTTGCATTTTCTCGGAGCTCCACAAAAAAAGAAATTTTCGTCCTCGAGATCCGATCTGATTCTTCTATTTTTGTAAATTATTAAATTATTTTGTCTCTTCCGAAGGTTAAACAGTGGAGCGGAAAGGGGAAAGGCAAAGCGTCGAAGAACCATCTCTGTAGTTTCCAACTTATCTATAATTTCTATTCTGATGGCGAATTTGTGGAAAATTTGTAACGTATAGAGAATTTAACGGTGTAGATGGCGTGTCTCCAGCTGCACGTGGTAAATGCTCACCGTCGATCATGCAAGCGCACTAGATTTGACTTGGCCTGGTTGATTGTCAAGATTGAGTACTTGATCCTCCTTGTAGCTTGATGCCACTCCAATTTGTTGTGTATATTGTCAATATTGTCCTTTCTAGTTTCCATATTTTTCTCTTAATATTAATTGATAAAAATTACACAATATTGAATTTAGAACTTTTGGCTCGAATTTATCCAAATTTTGCCGAGGAAGCAACCGTGCTCTTTAGTAAGAGATCGAGTCTCGTGTATCTACCATTTTATCATGAAGATAATTTCATGAATATCCAAAATTTTCTATTTTGTAGTTGTGAAAAGCAATTTTTTTCTCTTTTAAATGATCCGCATCGTATTCTATTCTCGTGGAATAATATATAAGCTAAGAGTCCGACACGCTTCGGGGTCATTAATGTTTTGTTGTGAAAGAAATTCAGAGCTTGTTTGAGATTCATTTTATTTTTTTAACAAAAATACATTTTGAGATACTGATTTGATAGAGAATATGTGATTTAAAAAAAGAAAAATTTTGAATTTGTGTGTAATACTATTTTATTGAAAAATATGTGATTGAAAATAAAATTTAAAAAAAATGTATTTTGAAAATAATGGGGCCAAACAAAGGCTAATTAAACTTTATTTAACTTTCAATGAATTCTTGCCAAGTGTAATACGTGAAACTTTTCTGTAAAATAAATATGTACTTATAGCATGATTCTACGTTCTGGTGTGAAATCTGACGTTGGATACGCATAATGTGCACGGTTGTTTTATTAGTTCAATATGGTTGCACATGCTCTCGCGATTAAGTAATTATAAATTTTATTTTCTCATTTTTTATTATACCAAATTAAGGACAAATTATAATTTCATTATAGATTATATATAATTAGTCAGATGATAGATCCAAATCTGATTTTATTGGTTAAAGTAGTTGACTGGTCCAGAATACCAGCAAAAAATTTCGTTATTTAATGACGATACATATTTAATAAAACTTATTAAATATCCATGATCTCCTGCTACATATTATAAATTGAAGCTCCAACTATAACTAATCATTACTTTTGCCACATTAGTTTTTTAGCTCTATTACTTTAAAAAGACTTGGAAATATGAGAAGGAAAAAGTTGGCAAAATTGTTGGCAGAAATGATCACAAAGAAAAGGTGAAAACTTATAGGGACTATACTGCAGAGCGCGGCTTGTGCATTGTTGTAGATGTTGAAGTACGATAAAGCCAGCAACGGATGGAGGGGGGCTGAGGGGGTGTACTCCCAAATGATTGTTTTCAGCCAGGAAAAAAAATTATGTAAAAAAAATCATGTGTAATTTTTTTTTTACGTATTAGTCATGCATGTAATCTGATCTTGAATCCGTCCCTGGATAAAGCATCTTGTCTATACACCTAGTGAACAAAGTCCGTGGATAGATAACTCACCCCAAGTGCATTGAATCAAATTGTTTTCTTTTTCTTCTAAAATTTTAAAGAAAATTATAAATTAAAATTGAACCTACAATGTTGAAATTGAATAAATGGGAAGACGGAAAATTCTAAACCATTCGTGAGACAAAGTCGTCAAAAGACATAAATCTAGTTGTTGTTAACTTATACAAAAAAATTAAAGGGCCGTATATCTTAAACGTCCGCATCATCGTGGACAGGGAAGTGGCATATAAGTAAAATAATTTAAAGGTTGGCGTCTGAAAAGTACAATTTTAAAGGAAGAAACGAATTATCAAGAGAATCTGAATATGAAGGGCTAATCGTGCAAAAAAAGAAAAAAACTCGATTTACGGCATTAATCATAATCCTCCAAAGTCACATCATTAAACTCTAACCACTTAAACCACTTTCTTGCTACTAAACTAAAGTCTTAATTTATATTATCTTTGGCTTTTAAATTTAACAAATATATATATATATA